ATCAATTAACATAAAACCATTAATCAAACAAATTAAAGAAGCTTTAAGAAAAATATCTTATCCCGATCCTTTTAGGGCAAAAGATCTGCCTCGTTCACCCCATTAACCATCTACATTACAGAATGAATTTTCTTATAGGTCTATTTATAGTTTTATAACTATAATTGATGTCAAAACGCAACACAAAGACTTTGTTTAAGTGAGCAACTAAGGCTTAATCGATCGAAGGGTTTTCCCGTGCCACGGATGATGCTTTCTCTCGTGCCCTCACCGTCTCGATGTTTGGCACCTTGATCAATCACCAGAGACGGAGGGAAGTGAGGGCACTACTAGTATGTAGCTCAGTAATGTCCAAGCCCAAGTCCAATAAAAATCCCAAAAAAAATAATATTGAAATATTTTAATTTTAGTCCCACCAACTATTAATCAACCCACCACAATTTGTAAAATCAGTTTCTTATTTTATTCTTGGTTATGATATGATTTTTTAAGTATGTTATGTTTATGGTTTTATATTTATGATTTTTAATTGTTGAAAACTTTTAGTTTTTAATGAATTTTCTGTTCAAATTTGTTTACAGACATTTGATTAGTTTGATTTTAAAGTATCGAAACAAGTTTAACAATTCATCTAGTTATTCGTTCACGTTGTCGGCAACAAACTATGTAAACACTAAGTAGACATTTGGTTAGTTTGTTTTTAAAGTATCGAAACAAGATTAATAATTCATCTAGTTATCCGTTCACGTTGTCGACAACAAACTATGTAAGCACTAAGTAAGTATTTTGTACAATAAATTTCTAAATTTTTGTCCCACGTAATTTAAGTTCCTGGCTCCGTCCCTGTCGATCACACTGCAATGACAACTTAGCATCATTAACATAGGATCCGTTTACTCTTCCAAGTGGGAAATTTGACACGTTTTTGTAGATCAAATGTGAAAATTCTTTAATAGTGCCAAAGTTGACACGTTTTTGTAGTTCATTGCATTTGATTCCATTTTAATATAATACTCCTTTCTTAATTTGTTTGGGCTGATCTAAAATTTAAAGTTTACTAATTTTCATTTCGAACCAGAAATCATTGAACCTGGACAAGTAAATAAATACACGTGCAACATCACTTGTGGGGTACAACGCACTTATTGTGCAAAATTTATTTGAATAAAATAATAGATAAATATTTTACATCATGTTGCTTTTCAATGATATTATCAGGTCATACTGAACATGCTAGAATGGATTTGATTGTTTAAAGAAAAATGTGTTTAAAGTTTAACTTTTTATTACCAAGATTTTGCTGGGAATTTTATTTTAAAGAATTCATTTCATTGTCACTTTATTTTATATATATATAATAAAAAAAAAAAAATCCTCCACCACCACCTTGCTGTCAAAGAGTGCATATTATTCCGTGGGTGTTTTGACACCCATTTTTATGGAAAAACAAATTTTAAAATAATATATTGATGGAGATGTGTAAATGAAAAATAAAAAAAAGTTTTGATTTGCGTGTAATATTACTTTAATGAAAAATATATGGTTGAAATGAAAAGAGAGAAAAATACATTTTGAGAACAATAAGAATCAAACGGGACCATGAAATTAATTTTTTAGAGTTTACCAAACATTTAAAACAACTTCTTATTATTTGAGATATAGAAGTTGAGTTCTAAAATCAATCCTTTGGGATAGGGACAGATCCAAGATTATTGTTCAATCGAGCGAGACAAAATTATGTAAAAGAATAATTAGATTTGTATTAAAAAATTATAGTCTAAAATTATATGGATGTGTTTTCAATGTCAAAAATTAAGGGTCCAGTGGGTGCAACCAATGGGGGCAATTGTACCCACTGGACCCCTCAACGGTATTTCCCTGCTTATGGGATTTAAAAGAATTGTATTCATTTGAAACTTTTGAAAATTGTTGAGGATTTTAAAAAATTTAAGTATATTCAATTGAAATTTTTAAGAATTTTCTAAAAGTTTCTGCATATTCAATTGTGATTTCTATAGGTATTTAATTGAAACTTTTAGAACTCTTTGCAAGTCACGAGGTATTCAAATAGAGAATAACTTTTGAAAAATCCTCTACTTATTGGATTTCTGGAAATTTTATGGTGAAAATTTCAAATATCAAATCTCAAATAAAATCTCTCATATACTTTGAGATTTGTGAAGATTTCAATAAAAAAAAAAAAAAAAAAGAATGTCTTTTTCTTGAATTCTAGAACTTCATCTTATTTCTTCAATTCATTCGCTGTGATCAATTTATGTTTATTCTATACACACTGTACTTTGGCTTTTCTAATGCCGTATACGTACAACACAGATTTATATACATAAAGAAGATATGAGAGAGGCTTTTTCTACTGTTCCATATTTCAAGTTCTACAACAGAGAAAGGTCGAGAAGAAAAGTAAGAGGGGGTGGGTCAAGCTTTTTGCAGTGATGATAAATTTCTTAAAAGCAATAACCAACTTAAGTTTGATACTCTTAAATTTGAATTATAAGGGGTGAAAATTAAACATAAAAAAGTCCAACCCAAATACAAAAGAAAATATACATAATTACTTTTGAATTGAAATTATATACAACTGTTTTAAAATATAAAATTCTATGTAATTGATCTATTATTATTATTATTATTATTTGGTTAAGAACAGTTCTTTTCCTAGAATTTATGTTAATTTTATAAAAAAAAATTATGTAAAAGGATTTTATTATTTTATTTGCTCCAAAATTGAATAACTGAACAGTGACTTGTGACTTTACCCAAGAAAATCTTGTGGGTATCATGGTTCTCGAAAATGTTAATCAAATAGTAAGAAAGATTTTAATTTTTTAGATATATAATATATTTATAAGATGAAAAGTCTCTGAAAGTTTTTAAAAATCTTTAACTAAAGTTTACAGAAATTTATGGAAGACTTTTATTAATTCTCAACGAATTCATAGAAGTTACTTAAAAGTCCATAAAATCCATAAAAAGTCACCCACTTAAAAAATCTATATAAGTTTTTAGAAATTTCAATTAAATACACCGCTAAAGTGTTTGAAAGTATAAATTAATTTTGAAAGTTCTACTTATTTTAGTTTTCTTTTTTTTTTTTCCTTTCTTTTCCTTTTTTATTTTCTTTTTGGGAATTTTTCACCCAAAATGAGACTTGAGCCTAATAACTCACATGGTAAGGCTTCGTTCTTACTAGATAAACTCCGTCTTGGGATAAAATATAATTTAGTTCCCACATGAGATTAATTTTATGTTTAATACTTATTATAAATAAATAAATTCTCTTCTTTAATTCTTTGATTTCTAAGATTTTAAATATTTAATGAGATGATACTTTACTTTTTTTTTTTAATCAAAGTATAAAAATAAATTTACTACTTGTACTAATTCACATAAGAGCACACTTTACACTAGCACACAAAGAGTGTAAATTACGTATTTTTAACTTTTTACACGCATTTATTTATTAATATATATCAACCATATAATTATAGATTTGATAATTATTTATTTATTATTATTATTATTATTATTTTTTACTTCGATGTACTCTTTCTTTTATTATTACTAATAAAGTACAGTAAATGATGAGAGTGTTAAAAGGTTATCCACCTAATAGAATGCTTATATGCACCTATTATTTCTTATATTCAACAAGCTTAGATTTAAAAAAAACAAAATACAAAAAAAATAAAATAAATAAATATTATCCACTGTCCTCCACATAACGGTGTAACGTGGAAAATACGTGTGAACGTGACAGAAAAGAAGCCCACAAACAGCGAAAATGTAAAGTCTACTAAGAGTGAGAGATACATATAAAAGGGTTGGTCAATATAGGAGTTCAACTCTTAAATGCTATATAAATAAAAGTAGTACCTACTTTCTCTTCTATTTCCTTTCAAAGGTGGGCTTGACTTCAATTTTTTATGTACATTTCAATATCCATGTTTTCAAAATCTTCGCTTATCCAACATAATAAATTGTTCTATGAATTAAATGAATAATATGTACTTTCAGGATAAATTACTAATGTAGAACAATATGTACTTTCAGGATAAATTACTAATGTAGAACAGAAAAAAGATAGGAACAAAATATACGATTTTATATAATATAGCTTTATCGAGATTCGAAACAAATTGTGCAAAGGCTTCTAATTCTGCGAATTGCGCCAGTTTCAATTTTAATTTACCATCTATTTCTCAATCTTTCTGACTTGCTCCTACGGAACCAAGATCAAAAAGATTGAAAAAATCAGTCATTCACAACCACTAATGAAGGATTTCTCGAAAAGTTAAGGATGTATATGTAGTTTTTCGTGAAAATGAAATAAATTTCATTTAAAGACGATACAAAAATCTTTTGAGGTCAAGATCTTCAACTCTATATATCAGATTTACTATTCAACTACATGAATTTCTTTTTTCCGCTATTTGACTTCTTTTACAAATTTAAGTTCTTACCAGAAAAATTCTTTAACTACATGAATTTCATTTTTCCTCTGTTTGACTTCTTTCACAAATTTAAGTTCTTACTGGAAGAAATATATTTTATATCTATATTTTTACAATATATCTTTTCGGTGTACACATTAGCAGCTTGTTTGGGAGTGATTTTTTGGTCCAAAAAATTGATTTTCTGATCGTTATTTCACTATTTCAGCTGTCATATTTGACTTTTTCTTTCAAAGGTGAACTCCACTTTTCTCCTAACAGTGAAAAAATCAATTCTCAAAATCACTCTCAAACAAGCTCTAGATTCGCTTCTAAAATGTAAAATTTTTAGAAAAATGGAAAAGAGGCTTGAGCTCAGAATATATCGTACAAAATTAAGTATTTCTTAAAAATAAAAATAAAAAATCGAATATATATATATATATATATCCATCTTTTCCAATTCTACCATACGTGCTAGATCCCGACAACTTTTAATCAACGCGGATTTAAATTTTACTTTTCATGCCGTCGCCAACTGTGCTACTCATAGTAATATAAATAAATGCCAGCCATACTGACGAGATTCCAGTTTACATCTACCAAGTGGTATTATTCTTCTCTCTTCTTCTCTTCATCTTCCTTTGTGCCTTTCTACAACCTGCAGATCTTCTAAAAGTTCTCTTCTTAATATCTTCTCTTCATTGACTTAAACACAGAAAGAAAGTTATCAAGAAACTATTTTTCCGAAAATATTCGCTATGGAATTCACTAGTCTGCTGGATACTTCATTGGATCTTAACGCCAAACCTCCCAGGATTTTTGACGGCAACCCGGTACTGGTATGTGAAGTTTTATGACAGTTATACATAGTCGAAGACTAGGGTTTCCGGTATGAAAATGACGAAGCCACTAAACTTGGTTTGTTCCTTTTTTTCAGAAACAAGAGGTGCCAAGTGATTTCATTCAGTTGGGAAGAAATGTAGCAGTGAAAGAAGAGGTGAGTACTTACTAGTTCTTAGTTCTTACATACACACACGTGTACGTATAGACATGATAAAAGTGTCGGTTTTTCCCTAACCTGTCGAAGGATAGGACTAGTTATGATACGCCCTTTGCTCTGCTCAAATACCTCATCCGAGATCTTGTATAGAGAAGGATTTTCCGCTGCTCGGCAATTCTTTCATCGTATTCACCTTGAAGAAAAAACAAAAATTGCGTTTTCGTGTGGATGACAATTGTTCTCTTTGGGAATCTCGTACTTTCGAACTAGGATAATCTCTGAATTTTTTCCCCCATTTTTCAGAAAGGTGCCTTAATTGAAGAGCTAAAGAGGGTGAATGAAGAAAACAGGAAACTTACAGAATTATTAACAGTTATCTGTGAGAATTATAACGAACTGAAAAAACAGTTAACGGAGTATACATCCAAAAATCCTGCGTCAAAGAAGAGAAAAGCAGAAAGCAGCATCAACAATGGCAGTATTAATCATGGAATCAACAGCCATGATGACAGTAGTTCAAGTGATGAAGATTCATCCAAGAAACCTAGGGAAGAACACATAAAAGCTCAGACTTCTCGGTTTTATGTACGTGCAGCAGCATCTGATACAAGCCTTGTAAGTACCAAATTAATCAATCTTCCTAGCAATGAACCTAACGGAGCAGTACTGAAATAGGATTTATGTAGCCGACCCTAAATTTATTAACAACTAGGCTTAATTTATTGTTGTTTTGCAAGTGTTGAAATATTAAAAATCCATCAAAATATTATTAGGAGTTCGAGATGAAATATGAACAATTTATGACAAATTATTTTTTGAAATTTTTTGTTCGTTTGTTTGCTATTGCTGAAAGAGAGAATACTAAAATTTACAGATAGTTAAGGATGGATATCAATGGAGGAAATATGGACAAAAGGTCACAAGGGACAACCCTTCTCCAAGAGCTTACTTCAAGTGTTCTTTTGCTCCAACTTGTCCTGTCAAGAAGAAGGTAAGCGAGATTTCTAAGCACTTTGTTCATTGTTACATCTATAAGCAATGTGTAGGGGTGGACCCGGTTTGCCTCGAAAGAACTCCAAAGAGAAGTCAACTAAACCAAGTACCAGTTGGTATTTTAAAACTAGAATCGCTAATTGGATATCCGTTTGGGATCCATTTTTGTAAAAATGAGAATGAAAAATATAGTTGTTATGAGACCCACACAAAATATAAAAAGTTTAATATGGTGGTTTGATGTGATGGATAACTGTCATGTTTTTTATTTTTGTGGCAAGGAATGAGAATCAAAAGGGGTGCAACTAATGAAATGAATATAGATCCATGTCGTAAGATTTAAAAGAAGTGTCATTTTAGCTGTCAATATGCATTGGAAATTTCGCCTCCATTCATTTCCTTTCAAAACAAAATTCTTTAATTTCTGTACTAATTTTTAATTACACATTCACATAATAAAATATTTTACACGTAAATCTAAAATTTTTTTCTACTTTTAACTACACATTCTTCAAAAGATCAATATTTAAAATATCTTTTTTTTTTTTTTCCCAAAATAATGTCCATCGAATAGGGGCTAAATAAACTGAACTTCTATAATTTACCTAAGTAATTATATTATTTTCTTGCAATGAAAGTGAGCATTACAGTATGGTTTTTCCTTGGACTTCTCCAACTTGTTCAAACTTCTTAGCATTCTAAGGCAATTGTTTCCATCTTTACGCAGGTTCAAAGAAGTATAGATGATCAATCTATTCTAGTTGCTACTTATGAAGGGGAGCACAACCATCTTCAACCCTCAAAAATTGAGGCTGCTTCGGGCTCCAACCGTTGCGTGATACTCGGCAAGACCCCGACCTCTGTGAGCTCGTCCGGGGCAACCGCTGCACTCGATCGTACAAAACCAAAACAAAATGCTGATAATGCAAGAAATTCAATCAGAAAAATTGATTCACCAGAATTCCAACGATATTTTGTGGAACAGATGGCTTCTTCACTAACGAAAGATCCCAATTTCACAGCAAGCATTGCGGCTGCCATTTCGGGGAAATTTCTTCAGAAAAATCCAGAGACAGGAAAATCGTAGGAGCTCGAACGAAGGAGTTTGTGGGGGATACTTTTGGGTCGTCCTTCTATAACGTGGGACGTTGAAAAGAACCAGTTTAGACACAAATTAACATTATGACATGATCATGATCAAGTGGTTGAAACGGAAAAATTTGGTTCGATTTCTTGACCCAATTCGTTGATCTGACCAAAACACTTCCGGGCTTGGCCTCATGAAGCTGTGGTTAGACATTATGCTGAGGGTTTTGTATGAGCAAAAAAGCCACAATGCTTGATTCCACCACAGTTTGCAAAAGCTTGCTTGTGGAGATGTCGGTCATCTAGCATAGAATTTCTTTTATGGGGAACACATATCAGAAGATTCCAAATGGAAATGTAAAATTATTCTGTTATTCACTAATTCTCTGTACAAGTCATATAATTGTCTCTCTACCGTCCAGACAAGGATTCAAAAACTTCAATATAAAAGTATAAAGTCATTAAGATGAAAATGCTCAAACGTTTAGCATGGACAAGGAGTATATCATCCTACACTGAAGCAGACACTAATTCTCAGTATAGATATAACAGAAACACACGTGCTCCTACAATCTTCCTGACTGTAACCATTCATCATCTTGAAATGCAATTTGAATCCTCTTCCAAACCAAAAGTTCACTTTCTTTTTTTCAATGGCTCAAAATCATAGTAAACCAAATGCATACAAAGAATGGAGCAAAAGCAAAAAGCAAAAGCAAAACGACCAACAACTCTCTGATATCTTACACAGTTGTCTCGAGTCCTTCTAGACAGACTCCCATTCTAACAATCTTGGCTGCAATTTCAACCCAGCAAAAGAAATCATCATTTCATGAAATGGAAAACCAAATAGAACATCTCGTACTCTCACTCTCCCCGTGTGTGCGCATATGCACGCGTGTACGTCTTAGGAGAGCATCGTGAAACATAAGGGGGAACACGGCAAATAGAACTTCTCTACAGTGAAATTCTATTTAAGAGATCTACATAGAAATGAATTAGTTAATTCATAACAGTTAAACTTCCTGACATACGCGAGCCATTCCTAGTGTGGGAAACCACCTCTTCACTTTTTATATAACAAAGATTCAAAGTAAATCTAAAATCATTACTACTGAGTAGTAAAACCAAAATCATCAATAGCTCTACCTAGTTCCAATTCAGCGATCTCTTCTACTGTCTTGCCTTTATTCATGGTCTTCAGGCCTTTATCCTCATTTATTAAATCACCTGCAGCTATACAATCCTGGTATCTGAGACAGCTGATGAGATGGTCATTTTTAATTCCTGCCACTTGCATAAAGAAGTGGACAACTGTAGGCCCAACTCCTTGGAATCCTCTTCTTACTAAGCCGGCTTTTGACATCTTAATAGGAACTTGCCGAGGATAGCGGAAATTATCAATTATAGGCTTGTAGTTAACAAAACTCCATATATACTTGTCAAACTTGTCAAAGGACCCAAGGTCATCTATTACCTGCATCATGAGCAAAGTACATGAACATGAGACCAATTGTTTGCAGGGACATCGTTTGCAAGACGTAATTGTTTATTCTACCCTATTTTTTGTCATTTATATTCGTAAGCAGTGACTGCTTGGTTAGCAAACTTGGCATTGGGTTCTTGGTAACCCAACTTTACCAAAAGTTCAAGGTATCAGTAGTAAACTAATTTTTGTAACCTTGACAAATTGAACATACTAAAGGATATCAAGCGATTCAGAATTTTTTTTATATAAAACTTGCCTATCATTTATCAACCATTTCTGGTTGGAGAAAGTATTTGAAAATTGCCTCATCATGCCTACATGCTAAGTTTAAAACATGGCAATAAGTTATCTAATCTTTCTGTAGGAGAAACATATATAAAAAAATTCACTTAGGTTTCAAACCTGAATAGACAGTGGTCAGAAGCTATTATAGACTAAAATTTGAGAAACATGGCAACTAATATTAACTTTCTCATTTAAACACTAATAAATATCTACACTTTTTGATTCAGCTTTAGGTTCAAAAGGCAATGTTTACATAATCTGTAAGAAGAATACAATAGTAAGTAATAACTATAACAAGGACATCATGACCATTCTAATAAAATCAGTGATACTAATCAGGAAAAATGTCAATAATGAATGTTTGATATATTTGTAATATACAATGCGATCAGCACTTATCGTACAGATTAGACGCGCATTTTCAATTATTGCTCGCTCCAATAGGAGAGAACTGGCACGGCTTCCTGGTGTACCTACTTTCTTCTCATTTAATTTTGACACTGCATTTGGATCAAAGTTCAGAAAGACTTCTCTGCACTCACATTTATTGGAATCAGCAACACGAGAGCTTATGAAAATTTTAATAATCAAATTGCTGCAACCATTTTCTGATTGTTCAAAATATTACATCAAAAACTATGATACCTAAATATATTCCTTTTGTTAAGAATGAGGGGCCATGTTAGTTCAACCAATGCAGTGGAAAAGCTCGACAATTCAAAAAGTTTCCTGCCAATCGTCAAAGCACTCAAATAAGAATGACGAAGCCATAAAATAGGGTTGTCCGATAATTGGAAGCCAAAACTAAAATAAGCAAAAAATGCTGGAAGGAGTTACTTATCATCATGGACAGGAACTCCCCATTCTTCATCATGGAAAGCAGCATAAGGAAACCCAATTAGCACAAGGAATCTAAATAACAATAAAAATTATTTAAGCATTTAGAGAAACTGCATGTCTAAAGAGGATTGCATGTCAAAAAACTATAGTGAGGGAAGGATCAAAATGCTAGATGGAAAATTATATATAACAAAAATAGAATGCAACTGTGCTAACACCGACCATCTGTATTCAAATATATAAAATTGCAATGAGTTTGATGCTACATAACTTTTTTTTTTTTTTTTTTTTGGGGGGGGGGGGGGGGGGGTCCCCTTCCTTCCTGCACGCTCTGTTTCCCTAGGGTTGAAAAATATAGTTGACTCTTTTTTCCATTTGCTACTTGACAATCTGAAACAATTAACGTGTATGAGAATATACCTATAATTTAAACCAATAAAAATGACAGCGATGGGAATCCTTATACTGGAAGGGAGAAAAGCCAGCACAATTTTCAACATGAACTTAAAGAACATTGAGTGCAACAAAATAAAAAAATAAGCCGAAAATGTCACATTAACAGGGGGATTTGAATAAAAAATTAAAGAGAAAAAACATAAGGCAACATAAACATTATTTTCTGAGTTTAAAATTATGACAAATTGATGCGTAACACACAATGATGATAATAATAATACATTGCAAGTTTATTCAAACAGTGGCTATTAAGCTTCAGATGCTGCCATGGAGGTTATGGATGTGAATAATTCAACTATCCTGGGGGATTATGTGAATTACAACCTGCTTCTCAAAGAAGACTAGAAGACAACTATGCAATACATACTTTATTGTAAAACTGCACATGTCCTCTAGCTCTTTTTTCTATAACTGCATAATTGATCATTGACAATGATTCGAACATTTGTTCCTGAATTACAGCTTGTATAATGACTTAGAGAAATGCGATTCAGTCTGAGTCTAAGAGAGTTACTCATACTAGCGAATGGATTGCGCCTCCTTGGAGCACCAGAAACCAAGGAAGAAATCTTGTCCACTCACAGGAGACAAATTCACTAATCTTTAAAGACTCAAATACTATTATTCCAATGAGAGAATCTAACCTACAAAGAAGTAGAGCAAGGTAGCTGCCATTAGTTCGTGTTTGGGATATTCCATTTGCAACCCTCCAGACTCCACATTCCAACTGAGGAAAAATTTAAACAGATGACAATTAAAGTCAACAAAAGATTATTCTATACTTCTGCTGATCATTCTACAGCACATGGATGTAAACATTCATTTAGTGCATGATTGGCAAAGGTTAATTTTTTTTTTTAGTGCTTATAAGATGTGGATCCTACGGAATGGGTGAATAGTAAGTGTATAGTAAGTTATGAGTCCTACGTAATGCGTGAATAAATATGTTTGACCAGCTTAATTTTTAATTTAAGCTTAGCTAAACATGCACTTAGCGATATATATGCTTGCCTATCTTTTTTGCTCTGAAAAATGAAGGTTTCCAACATTCACAAGATGAACCAAATCACAGCTATGGATAATGAATTGAATAATCTCTTTTCTTTGTCGTTACTAGTAATTTACAGTGTTCCTTCAGAAAGAGATCAATAAAAATAAAGGTGGGCTCTTCTTTAAGTCATCCAGTTTCAAATCATTAAGCTAATCCAGCGAGACTTATAAGTTACACCACAACTGAAATGTAAGTTACAGACTCAATAGAAAGAAATCGTTCACAGTAACACTGACATAAAAATGGTCAAAACTGGAACAAGAGTTTTGGAAATAAGAATGTTCGATACAGGAAACAAAGGCTCAGGAATGAACCTTCAAGGTAGTTAACCATATTCCATTAAGAAATTATAACAAAACTATGACCCTATTTGACAACCATTATTTGAAAACTCTTTTTTTACATACTCATTTTCAATCATAAATTCACACAATAAAATATTCTGTACACCATACATTCTCTTAAAAATCACTACTCAAAACATTATTTTTCTCAAATAATGAACAACAAAAAGGGGCTAAAGTAGCTGGGGACCCAGGGCTCATGAAAAATAGTTCACTCTTCACTGGCATGCCATAAGTCCTAGTTTGTTATTCTAGAACTTTATTCAACTTAATTAGATTTAACACTTCTTCAGCAATGATGGTTTAAATTTAATTTACCAGCGCGACTGTCATTATTTCTCTTTCTTTTCCTCTTTCTCAAGAATGGGAGTCAAACGTTTAAACATCAAAATTCTTGCTTCAAGACCGCATCCAATGAACAGTGCCTTGAAAATTGGAGATCAACAAATCACATACATATGATTAAGGAAAAGAATAAAACAAGAACGACTGTGAAAAATATATCATATTATCATTGAAGGATGGATTTACAAATGCACTTCTAATTCTTCCATTATTCTATCCTGAAGAAAGATCATCGCAAGGATAACCATTACCAACATAACACTTACATTTTGGACATTACACGCATTTCTATGCATGAACTCACCATTCATATAAACACATAAAGTTGAAGGTGCATAGCTCCTACAATAAGCTCTAGAAGTTGAAGCAGCTCATAAAAAGGCATACCAGTATTCGAAGCCACCCAAGAACACATTTTCTTAGCCAGATCGATATCCCTCACTCTCACTATCAAAATTCTCCTGAGAATTCAAAGCTTTTGGGCTGCATTGCTGCTTCCTCCTCATTGTCGGTGTCACCGTCCGCCAGCTAATTTTCCCTGGAGACGGGCTATGAAAAGAATCCGTGGATGCATCAGATGAACACGAAGCAGTCAGTGACAAATTATGCCTGTGCAGCCCCAGAATCGAGGCGGCACAAACATTCATCCACTTCGAATCCACCTTCAACGCCAAATGATCATCTGTCACGGTCACAGGGGACTAAATTGTTGCCGGTGACTTTTTCCCGTTGGATTCGTCAACAACGTCTAGTGATTTCTGTACCTTTTCACTGTTGGGCTTTCCAAAGGGCTTCCTCAATTCCACTGATCTAGATTTGTTCCCAGCCGGACCAAGCACTGGCCGCATATAGGACTGCGGTCTGCCGTGGTCCTGGCATTATCTTAATTAATCAATTTCGCGCAATTCACTTGAAGAAAAAGGTTAAGACTCTTCAATTTTACTTCACGAGTGGAATTGTGGAATCATTGCGTTCGAAATTTTGGGCTTTTTCGAGTAAGATGCGAAGTTGCATTGTGCTTCTTCTTCTTTTGTTTTTTGCTGTTTTTCTCTTCTTTTGCAATGGGAGAAATGCAGGAAATAGAACCCCCGGAGAGAGAAAGTAGAGAGGATTTTGAAAAGCAGCGGAGGACTGGCTGAGTAGTGGTGGCACCGCCAGTTTGTGGCTCGCCGATAGAGGATTCACGACCGGATTCTCAGGATTTTCTAGAGAAGGTGTTATGTGGTGGGAGTGTGCTTGTGTACATCCTCAAAGACAGTCAACTGCCAAACGAATTTGCTCCATTCACATCAAAATGGTACATATGCTATTACCGGAAATAACGTGGAAGAAAAATATTGGATGAAAATATTACCGTGTTTTAAACTGATAAATAAAAAAGTATCACGTGATATTATATAATCTCATGTGTAAACTTTAATGTACATGTAACAAAGTCCACTGTCAAATTGCCAATCAAAAACTAACGTTTGAATAGTTTAAAGACAAGGCAACAATTAGCCTTGACCCACATTAAATTAATTTTATTTTTTTCTCCCATATTTTTAATCAGACAATATTTCATAAAATAATATTAACCATAATTTGAAAATAAATTTCAATAGTTGGAAGATAAAATACAAGACATACATAAATAATCACAATATAATTTAAGCAACTTTACAAAAGTGATGGTACGACAAACTCCTACTACAGATATTGAATATCTTAGAATATATTATGCAACGTATCAAATGCATTGTTAAACAAATTTCGCTATAAACTTGACATGTAATAAAATATGTATTAATATATACATGTTTTATTGCAAAATAGAATCTATAACAAATGTTATATTTTTAAAATAGTATTTGCAACAAACGTTACAAAAATCCTTTTTGAAATAATCGTTGAGACAAATTATCTTATTGCCCTCTTAATTTTCCGTGACATGTATATGTTACGACAACATTATAGCAACAAATATCTTGTTGCTATATCGTGTTCTTTGCATCAAATAAATAATGTTACATGTTTATTAATGTGCTATATGGTTAATAAGTTGTCATATAATACATTCTATGACTCATATAGTGGGACAATACGTGCAACATACATATTTTTGTCACGAAATTATTTTTACAACAAAATCTCTATTTATGCTACAACATTTTTTTTGTCACAGATTCACTTTATTATTATTATTATTATTATTATTATTATTATTATTATTATTTGCAGTGATTATATATGAATTCAATTGATTGAAAAATCTTTTGATTCTTCATTGATTGTCCATTCAAATATTTAACAATTTTTCATCATTTTTTATTCGAGATTGTCTGGCCAGTCATGCCAAAGAATAAAATTTTTTATTGTACTAATATTTGTATAGTACAATTTAAAATAAAGCGAGTAATATAGTATTAGGTCTTCTGGATATTATATTATGTTAGTTTCAATCATCATCCATATCTCCTTTAGGCAATCGTGATACACACAACATGATGATAGGAATATGATCGATATTCATAATTAAATGGACGAAAAATTTGTTTTTTATTGTCACTTTATCATAATTAATATAGAAATAAAATATAAATTATAAGTGGATGACAAATAACTTTCATCATGATGTAAAATTGGCAGTATTCTCATAAATTTTGATCCAGGACCATGTCATCCAAAACTAATATGATATAATGTGTCAAATATTGATGCATAACCAATAGCATAAAAGTTGTTGTATACATTCCTTCAAGGATAAAATATTTATTTATAAAATTTATATTTAGGTATTATCACTTCAGAAAATTCGACATTGTGATATTCTTCGAGAATTCTTATATTTTCAAATTTTTGTATTGTGCTTCTTTGAAAGCAACACAATATTTTTACAGAACATTGATAAATATAATTTTACTTTTGAAACTTTTTATATAATGTCTTCAAAAACATCAACATCTTATTTGTTTATATTAAATAAAATTTTTAATCATGTTTCTTTAAAGAAGCATAAGCATTATTAAATATTTGTACTCTATTCAAGAAAATTAATAGTATTATATATTCTTCAAAAATATTAAAAATTATAAAGCCGTGCTCTTCATGAACAGTAATACTTATTGTATAATAATATAAACATAAACTTCTTAAGGAGTATTAGTTACATCAAAAAATTTAATCAATCTAAAATAAAAATTTTCACAAATTATGTAATTCTAATCTTACAAAATATAATCAAAAGATTTGTAAGCATAAACTTATTTGGCGTATAAAGATAGTCATTTGGTGAAAGTAATACTTAAATTTGAGAGATTTAGATAACTAGAAGTAGTCTCAAAATCTTTATGAATGTAAATCTTAAAAATTATGTTTTCTCCAAATATTCATCAAAATTCACTTCTGTTCACATAACATTTTTCACAAATGATCATTCAACTTAAATCTTGATCATTGTATTTTAATAACAAAGAGTTGTAAACTTTCTATCCAAATTTTACGATGATTGGACCACGAAAAGTTGAAATACCAATATTTTATTAAATTGATAAAATTAATTTTTATTGATTAGAGTTTAGGAAAAAGAAGTAATATATATCTCACAACAAAAAATGGGGAAAAATCATCATTAAAAAAATTATAAAAAATTAATAATTGAAAAATAAATACGCAAGTAATATATAATGTATGATTTGTTATTTCAATTAAAAATATATTTGTTTATTCAGTTTTATAATAATGTATTTGTAAACGTTTCAAAAAATTATGCTTTTTTTAACCATTATGTCAAATGTAGTGTGCAAATGTAAATTTATAGAACACTATATACAAAATGTAATTACATCTTATATAATTCATGTATTTTAAAAATAAATGCATTTAAAATAACCATACTCAAACATGCTAAAACTTACCACTGATGCCGTACGTAGATTGGTCAATTTATTAAAGATGTGAAAGCATCTGTTTGATGGCAATTTTTTCTTAAAAGCAATATTTTGAATAATGATTTTTAGAAAAATACGTGATTAAAAAGTAAGAAAAAGTTTTGAATTTATATTCTAAATATTTTAACGTGTGATTAAAAATGAATACGTAGAAAAAATAACTTTTAAATAATGGTTGTGAAACGGAGGATAAGATCTTATATATATACTAGTTTTCCACACGTGTAATGCACGGGTTATGTCATTTTTTAGGTAATATTAAGTTATAAACATGTCAAAATATCTATTTAGTTCACTCAATAAATCTATAAATTTGATTAATTGTTTAAAATGATAAATAAAAATGTAATCTTCATATATGACACACTTTTGATATTAAAAAAAATTAAAAGTTTATTAAGAAATTTTCTAAATGAATTTTATTAGATTATTTAAAAAATTAATTGATCGAGAGGAAAAAGTAACAATAAGAAAAAAATTTCTAAAAACGATCGAATTTCTTTTATATATAAATTTTTTTTTCAGATGTTAAAATATCAAGATGAAAAATTAGTTGGTCTCAATTTCCTCTTGCTATAATTGAAATGTATTTTTTGAGGATATGATAAATGTTCCCTTGATGCATGGATTAAAAACCCAAATTATTGTAGCTCAGAATTTATATATCAAACATTATTTTAGCTTGAGTGATTATTTTACATATAAAGGATTTATTTGATGATAACTATATTCAATATAATTAAATCGTGTAATTAATCGTATCTTTTTTTTATTGTTCAATATCCAATCAATTTAATGAATTTTTTTAATTTACGTATAATATTATTTTATGGAAGATTTTGTAATTGAAAAATAAAAGAAAAAAAAATCTAATGGAGCCAAATACAAGCTGAGCCACAATATAATATTTTGTCACTTAAATGGGGTTGAGATTTTTATTTAATCACCCAATTTTGATATATTTGAATTTAATCCTCCAGAATTTATATACATCTAAAATATTCAATATCGTCAAATAAATTAATCGACATCTTTTTGACTGAGTATTAAATTTTTTCAACGTTGTGTTAAGTTTTACTTTGATTTATCGTAACTACTTTTAGAAAATAAACAATATACATGATTTAATATACCCCGTGTCACGTTATATAAGGGTAAAATAGATTTGTATAAAAAATATATCAATCACCAAGGAAAAAAGAAATTATATTGAGAAAATTGTCACGAAAAAATAATAAATATTAATAAAATAATAATTTTTTTAAAGAAAAAAGAATGAGTTATACGCATTTTTTAACATACATATTTGATATACGTTCAACTATTTTCGATAGCTCCGTGATGTGTAGAGTTGCTCTATTGGATTTTTTTTTTTCACTAAGTGATTTATTTAGTTATTTTTTTAATAAAAATCTTCCATAAATCTTCTATATTCTCTCGAAACTTATTTCAAGAACTATATCATAAACATATCGAATGATTTAAATGAATATCGAAAATAGTTAAACGTACATCAAACGTGTACGTTAAAAAATGCGTATAACTTGTTTTTTCTTTAAAAAAATCAATTATTTTATTAATATTTATTATTTTTTCGCGACAATAATTTTTGACGTCATTTAGAAAATTTCCTAATAAATTTTTAAATTTTTTTAATATCAAAAGAAATATCATTTAAAAAATTAAGAATTTCGATAACAAGCTAACTTTATATCATCAACGAATGTACGGTAGTCGAATGCATAAATCTTCTATATTCTCTCGAAACTCATTTTGAGAATTATATCATAGATACATTGAATAATCTAAATGAATATCGAAAATAGTTAAACTTACATCAAACGTGTGTGTTAAAAAAAGCGTATAACTCGTCTTTCTTCTTTTAAAAAAAAATCAATTATTTATTAATGTTTATTATTTTTTTTGACAATTTTTATAAAAAAAAATATTATGTTGTATGACGTCAACTATTTTTTTTTATGTAAAAATTCAAATAAGGTAAAATAGCAGCACCACACACATGTAGGAAGATCATTAGTATTGATTTCAAGAGTGAACTGGGATATTATGAAATATTCAACGGTAAAATATGAAAACACAAAATAGATCTTGAATGAATAGTGCATGCCACATTCCCTCTTTTATTGTAATAGGGATTAAAAAAAATAAAAATAAAAAATTAGTAACTTTTGAGCCCACCTTTTTGACTATTTGATTACATATTTGTTCTACCTTCTCTTGTAGGTGTTACAAAGCAAGACTCTCCATCCTTTTGTATAATTTTTTTTCAACTTTTGAGCCCACCTTTTGGTACTATTTGGCTACATGTTTGCTCTATCTTCTCCTTGCGTGTCACGGAGC